TGCTGAAGACTTTCCATTTCTGACTGCCTTTTAAAATTATATCCTCATTTCATTTCAGGAATGTCGGATTGCACACCCTGTTGTGAAGTGTACCTACTGTAGGACTGAGTACCAGCAGGAGAGGTACAGTTTTCGTTGACCATGAAAGATGCTAATAGGCTTTTCCTTTTAAAGTCTGTAATCGATTGCCTTTCAATATACAGATCTGTAATCAGTTGCATTGTAATATATAGATCTGTAATCAATTGCATTATACACAGATTCTGCCATTTCCTGTTATAACACAGTGGAAGTAAAATACACATATTGTTCCCTAGTTATTAATTAATTGCTTAAATTATTAGTTACTTATTTTTCACATCCTTGATAATTTTATATTGTGGGGTTTTTTAATTAATTAATTTATTTATTTATTATTGGCTGCATCAGGTCTTCGTTGCTGTGTGCAGGCTTCTCATTGTGGTGGCTTCTCGTTGTGGAGCACGGTCTCTGGGCACGCGGGCTTCACTAGTTGGGGCTCGCTGGCTTCAGTAGTTGGGGCTTGCGGGCTCTAGAGCGCAGGCTCAGTAGTTGTGGCCCATGGGCTTAGTTGCTCCGCGGCATGTGGGATCTTCCCGGACCAAGGATCAAACCCGTGTCCCAGGGAAGCCCTATATTATGGTTTTGACATTTTTGACACTAAGAAACCAATCCCACAACAGTAAAACATGAGCCTTGTGCTCTAGTATGTTTATATGCAGAGTTTGAAGAATTTATAAGCCAAAAGAAGTTACTTTTGAAAATGTGACAATCTGATAGAGTTTGTTAGCCCTAGTCACATTTGAAAAAACTCACTTGCCTTTACACTTGCCTTGTGTGAATCTCATTTTGAAAAGTGTGAAAAATATTTAGGTGTGAATGAACACACATCTTTGGGGGACTTTTTAATAGCAGCAAAGTGGTTTATTGGTACAGTAAGTTAAACTTTTGGGGAACGGTGGCTGTAGGTAATATTGCCTTAAGCAGGATGGAGTCTGTTTGCCAGCTCACACATGGACCCAGAAGCCTAATTTTAGTCAGCTTCATTTCAGTTCTAGGAATATTTTCCCTGACATTTCGTTATGTTTATTTTCAAAGAAAAAAAAAGCTTAAAAAACTAGATAGTAAACACTCATCTACCCACTACTTAGATTCTACAATTTACACTTACTGCTTTTGCATCTGTCCATCTCTCTATCCATCAGTGTATTAATCCATCTTATTTGTGATGCAGTTTAAAGTTGGGGACATCAGTGTACTTGACCCTAAACACTTCAGCATGCATATCATTAACTTAGAGTTCAATATTTGTTTATGGTTTTAAAATTTTTTTAGAGGTAAAATTTGCACACATTGAAATGCTCAAATCTTAAGTGCATCATTCGATGAGTTTTACAAACAGTATATATCTGTGTAACCCTAAACCCCATCAAAATATAAAACATTACTATCACCCCAGAGATTCTAACCCCAACCCAGTCAGTCCCCACTCTCCTTGCTTTTTCCAAGCAACTACTGTTCTGATTTTCCTTTCCACCATAGATTAGTATTACCTGTTCTAGAACTTCATGTAAATGGAGACACACAGAATATACTCTGGAAGGTTTATATTTTAGCTTTTACATTTAGGCCTATGATCCCTTTCAAATTTATTTCTGTGTGTAGGGTGAGATTTGAAGTTGAACCCTTAATTCACACCATACATAAAAATTCAAGATGGATTAATTCAAGATGGATTATAGAAATAGGTTTTTTGCATTTTTTTTCTAAAATATCAAGAGCATTTGTATATATTGATATATATGTCCCACTCCTTGAGTAATAAATCTAAAATAAAGCCAAATGTTCAACATCACAGAATCACTGATGCTAATCCTCTTTATAGAGGTCTCTTTCAATGTACTTCACTTCCTGAACTGCCTTTTTTTTTTTTCTTTTTGGCCACCCCGTGGCTTGTTGGATCTTAGTTCCCCACTAGGGATTGAACCTGAGCCACGGCAGTGGAAGTGCTGAGACCTAACCACTGGACCCCACTGGACCACCAGGGAAGTCCCTGAACTGCCTTTTTAAAATGGCAGAAAATTGCCCTGGGAAATATTTTGTTTGAATATCTCATTTTAATTAAATGTTTTTTACTTTGAGGTTTTTTTCTGTCTTTGAAGTTTGTAGTCACTTTGATAGGAATTGTATGGGAAAAAAATCACAAAGTAGCGATATACTGGATTTTTATGTGATTTTGTTTTTAGCCCCCAAATATTGTTTAAACTGTTGTTAAACATCAAGTATCTGTTTGTACCTCCCTTTGTGAAGGGTTAGACTTTATTTGAAGATAATATTTTTTCCCCAAGGCAGTTTATCAGTTTAGGCATGTAGGTAATATTATGACTTGGATCTTCACAAGGGAAAGGGCGTGTTTATTTTTGTCAGTGCTTAGCTCTTAGAGAAATTGGAAATATTGAAAAACTATTTGGTGTTAGCATCTATTTCCCCACATCAGGAATTTTCATATACTTTTACTTACAGAGGAGAACATAGAGTAAGGTCAACATGGATAGAGTCTCTGAGCTTATATCCCAAACACAAATACTTTACTCCTCATCTCAAATTTCTCAGCTGGTCATCTGAATTGAGGAGAATTAATTTATTTTCTGCTAGTCCATTTTGGTCTCACATAATGTTCTTTTCAGGGTCCTTTGCATATCTGATAATTTTACTTAGTGGTAGTTGGAGATATCATAATCAGAAATAACTCACTCTCCATTTTGACCAAAGCCTCCTTGTATTTGAGCTAATAAAATTTATAACTACAGAATAATTAAAAGAGTTACTGGCCAGATACTCACCCTTTAGTTAATCAAATGTCCAAACCATATTCCACCTTGGCACTTAGTAATGAACAAATTCCTTGGACTTAAGGAAGAATCAGTTTTCAAATGTTGTAAGTAAAACCATTTTTTTCTTATAAAGCCTTGTGTCTCTTTCTTCCTTAACAGTAAAACCAATACAATATGCAAGAAATGTGCTCAGAATGTGCAGTTGTATGGAACGGTAAGTAGGGTTTCTCTGTACCTAACAGTCAGGTCTCTTGGGACCGTACATTCTGTGGACTATTAATATAATTACAATATTTTTATTAGAAGACCTAGTTATGCATAAAAATGTTCTCAGAAAAATTTATGTAGTGTTTTAGCTTTCAAACTTAGCTAATACTTAGTATTAAGGAGTTCTGTGTTTATAGTCACTGTAGCAGGATTGTGATTATAATTTTCCTTGAGAAGCTTCAGTAACCAGTATGTAAAGAGAAGGGGAATGATGAATCCTATGACGTGACCTCTTTGTTTGGTAACAGTTGACTATTCATTTTGATGAATGATTTTTTTCTTTCAGTGTTAGGGTTCAGCATACTGTGTCTTTGCAGGCATTCTCCCCACATGTTTATACACTGATAATGTCAAAGAGGCCTTTTCAGAAATTTGGACGCACTTGCTCATTTCTCCAAGAGCTGGTTCTGTTGAATTGGTTAGAGAAGTCCCAGCATATATGCTAATGGGTTTTTGTTATTTGTTTATTTATTTAAAAATCAATAGCCCTGTGCAGAAAAACACTTTACGTGGTGTTAGGAATTGGGCTTTATTCGATCAGTGTAAAAGGAAATTTATGAAGTTGGGAATGCATTTTTACCATGACTAATGAACTATGTATAATAGAAATCATTGCTTTAAAAAATGCACTGGTATTTTACAACATACTTACTTGACACTTTTTTTTTTCTCTTTAAGCCCAAACCTTGTCAGTATTGCAACATAATTGCAGCATTTATTGGCAACAAATGCCAGCGCTGCACAAATTCAGAGAAGAAGTATGGACCACCATATTCTTGTGAACAGTGCAAGCAGCAGTGTGCATTTGACAGGAAAGATGATAGAAAGAAGGTAAATCTCTGTGTTTTTCTTGATATTTTTTTCTTTCGGAGAAATTAAGGTGGGCCAATTGTGTTAAAAAGACATATAACCAAGATTGATTGCTCAGTTCCTCTCTAAATTCTGTTATTGACTTTGAAGAAGATATTCACCCTTTGTTTTCTTCATTTATCAAATGTGGACCATTATATTATAACATTTCATAGGTTAGTATTTCATGAGAATTTGAATTACAGTGTTCAACATCCCTTATAAGTGAAGTGGTGATTGGCAAAATTCTACAAAACTCTTTAAAGGAGAGATTGTGACTTAAGCAGGATATAGTCTGTTACCAGTTTTACTATCTGGCTCTTTGAATGTTTCTATCTGTTGAAGTTAAAGACCACAAGAAGATGATATAGATAAACCTCTATGTGGAATGATGGTACCTTGGTGGAATTAAAATGGTTTAGATTTGGTCTGTTTAAAACCCTCAAGTGGCTTCCAGTTGCACTTAGAATGAAACCCAAACTCCTTCCATAGCCTGCAAGGCCCATACCTGACTCTCAGTCTCATCTTCCATCACACTCCCCTCCTCCTCCCTTGGTCCAGCCACACTGGCCACCTTTCAGTCCTTCAGATATACCAGTCTCATTTCCACCTTTGTGCCGGCTGGATTTGCCTGATACACAGCCTTCTCCAGAGTGTCATAACTGGTTCCTTGCGTCAAGTCTCAGCTCAATTGCCAGCTTCTCACAGAGACCTTCTTTACTAACTCCCCCGATCACTCTATCATAGTACCCTGTTTATTGTCTTCATAGCATGTAACATTATGAGAAATTATCTTGTTTGTTTACATGTTTGTCCACCCCCACTAGAGTATGTGCTCTTTGTCCATCTGTTTTCATGCTGTATTACCAGCAGCCTGGCACATAGTAGGTACTCGATAAATATTTTTTGAATGAAAGAATGTAGTACAGAAACTCTCAGTGTCCAGAGATGCTTTTCAGAGATGCTTAGGCTCTCAAAAGCTGACTCGTGGTAACCAAATTCATTAATTTACAATGGGCGGAAGTAACTTTCCAGTGACCAGAATACTACTGCCTGCCAACCAGGGCACCTCTTCCCTGAATCAAGATACTAAAGAAGCTGAATTAGTAATCAGAAGGTAACATATAATAATAGTTGGAGCACAAGCTTTTGAGTCCCATAGATCTGGGTTCCAGCCCACTTCTGGCTTAGCTGAATGATCCTGGGCAAATTATTTACTCCTGTTATGCATCAGTTTTGTCATCTTTACTGTGGGAATAACAGTAGCTACTTCACAAGGGCATAGGGAGATTTAATTGAGATAGGTATATAAAACAATTTTGAGCCTAGCATATACTATACTTCATTAAATGGTACCTATATTATTATTAATTGGATTACACTAGAATTCATTGTTTCTACTTTCTAGTTACAGTCCTATCATAAGAGTTTGCGTATTTGTAGGCATCCTCAATCACCTATTTATAAACTTCAGGCAGGAGGACCAAGCTTAGGGATTGAGAGTGGATGATCTGGACTCAGAGTGCCTGGGTTGAAATCTTTGTCTGTCACTTATTTGTTGTGTGACTTTAGGCGAGTTAATCTATCAGTGCCTCAGTTTCCTCATCCGTAAATAAGGCTGCTCATGCTCAGACCTCATCGTTGTTATGAAGGTCAAGTGCAAACCCCTTCAGAAGGAATCTGGCACATGATAAGTACTCAGTGTTATCTATGATTATTTCTTTATGATAGTTTAATTCTGAGAGGGTGATTTTATATTTTTAAAGTTTGTGAAGGAGAGATCTGAAATAAAGTGTCCTGTGGTTCAGCGTGTGATTTTCATGTTTAATGCTGGCTCTCTTTCAGTGCAGTTGCTTTGTTTTCAAACCCTTCAGTGAAAGTTCTTTCGTGGAGAAGGTCTCCTAGAGTTTTTTTTTTTTTTTTGGCTGCATTGGGTCTTTGTTGCTGGGCGCAGGCTTTCTCTAGTTGCGGCGAGTGGGGGCTACTCTTTGTTGCAGTGTGCGGGCTTCTCATTGCGGTGGCTTCTCGTTGCAGAGCACGGGCTCTAGGCACGCGGGCTCAGTAGTTGTGGCTTGCGGGCTCTAGAGCGCAGGCTCAGTAGTTGTGGCGCATGGGGCTTAGTTGCTCTGCAGTATGTGGAATCTTGCTGGACCAGAGATCAAACCCATGTCTCCTGCATTGGCAGGCGGATTCTTAACCATTGCGCCACCAGGGAAGTCCTCCTAAAGTCAGACCTTCAGACCATATCCCATAACCATGAAATGCAGCAAATTGAAGTTTGGTTTCAAAATACATTTATACATTCGTTAACAAATAATTAGATCCTTATCATGTCTCAGACACTGCCCTGGGTGTTGGAAATACACTGATGAACTAAGCAGAAGAGACCTTATTCTCTCAGAGCTTTTATTTATGTGTGTAAGAGATGGATGAGAACAAACAAGGAAATAAATGAACACAGAGTTTAGGTGTAAGTGCTATAAGGAAATAGGGTATATGGTAGAGAGTGACTGGGGAGGCCAGTTTTGATTGGGCAATCAGGAGGACCTGCATGGAGATAAAATCTGAGCTGAAACAGGAAAGATGAGAAGGAAGCAGCTATGGGAAGCTCTGGAGGGCAAAGATCCTGGGAAGAGAGACCAGCTATGTAGAGACCCTGAGGCAAGAATGAGCTTGGCAGATGGGAAGAACAGAAAGAAGGCAGAGTGAACAGAGAATGAGATTATAAAGGCAGGCAGAGGCTACATTTAAGTCAACATAGGCTATGGTAAAAAGTTTAGATTTTATATTTTAAGGCGAGAAGAGACATAATCAGATTTACATTTAAGAAGCCCTCTTTGGCAGCTATGTGGAAATGGTTGATCTGGAGAAAAATAGCGAAATCATTTGGGTGGGTCTTGCAGTTGTGACAGGTAAGAATGGCTTTGCTTAGGTGGAAGCAGTGGAGTTGGAAAGAAGTGGATAGATTCAGACGGATGACTTGCTAATAGGTTAGGAGAATAAGGTGCAAAGAAGCTTTTGCTAACAAGATAAATACTTTAGGTAAATGATGGTCTGGCTTACCCATGTTCAAGATGGAGCAGAAGATCTAATTTAGAGGCAAGACATGAAAACTAAGATTCCATAAAATATCAGCACACTCCCTCCTCAACCTGAGTAATTGCAACCAGCTCTGCTGCCCTGCTACTTGTACCAGGCCACCCCACAAACTTAGTTTTGCAATCTGAGTGCTGTACAGAGGCACCCCAGCTTCAGAGGATTGTGGAAGCCCCATTCAGCTTTCCTAGCCCTGTGCCCTGCACCCTGGTACAGAGCTGCTTCTGCCCAAAGTGATCAACTTTTTCTAAATCAAACAAAGTGCCATGGTAGGCCACCACCAGGGATTGGGGCCCTGGAAGCTACTTGCCCATCAGTCTTTTTCTGGAGACTTTTTTTTTTTTTTTTTACAGAAGATATTGGGGGTAGGAGTTTATTAATTAATTAATTTATTTTTGCTGTGTTGCGTCTTCGTTTCTGTGCGAGGGCTTTCTCTAGTTGTGGCAAGCGGGGGCCACTCTTCATCGTGGTGCGCGGGCCTCTCACTATCGCGGCCTCTCGTTGCGGAACACAGGCTCCAGACGCGCAGGCTCAGTAGTTGTGGCTCACGGGCCTAGTTGCTCCGCGGCATGTGGGATCCTCCCAGACCAGGGCTCGAACCCGTGTCCCCTGCATTAGCAGACAGATTCGCAACCACTGCGCCACCAGGGAAGCCCTCTGGAGACATTTATTTCCATCTGAGAAAAGATATCCAGCATACCATTTTATGAGCCATTTATAAGGTATTAAAGCTAAAGTATAGGGCTTCCCTATACCAGGAATCAAACATGTGCCCCCTGCAGTGGAAGTGTGGAGCCTTAACCACTGGACCACCAGGGAAGTCCCCAGCTCCTATTTTATTAAGCAATTTTTATGTACCTTGCACCTTGCTTTACCTACATTATGTCACTAGATCCTTGCACCAGCCCTCTGAAGTAGGTTCTATTCTTCATTTTATAGATGAAGAAATTGACCCCATGAGTACCCAACTGACTTCCGTAAGGTCACACAGCTTGTAAGTGGCAGATCTGGACTTAACCAGGGGTTCTAGCTCCTAATACCCATGTTCTCAGCCACTGTACTAGCATATTTCTTCTTCTTTATCTTTGTCTCCTCATCTTTCAGGTAGATGGGAAATTGCTATGCTGGCTGTGCACACTTTCATACAAACGGGTCCTTCAGAAGACCAAAGAGCAGAGGAAGCACCTGAGCAGTTCTTCCCGTGCCAGCCACCAGGAGAAGGAGCAGTACAGTCGACTGAGTGGTGGCAGCCATTATAACAGGTAACCCCGAGATGCATGAGATAGGACTAGAGGTGCTGGGAGGTCAGATGTAATACTCACACAATTAGCCATGGAAGATACCATTTTGTCTAAATTTTCCTATTTTCTTTCTAGTTATTAGTCTATAGAGGGAATCTCCTTTGTCATAGTTTGTAATTCATGTATCATCCAAGGGCCAGAGAGACTTCCATAAGGCATCAGGATTTTCTGACTTGGTTTCTGTTGTGTCTTAAAAGTTTGTGGAACTTACTCCACTTTAACATGTAACGTTCTCCCCTCCGTTAGAGTAGGTTATCTCCCTAGAAGATTGGACATTTCACAGTCTGAGGGATGCAGCTTTTTTATGCATATTGGCTAGGAGATTGATAGATACTCTAGGTTTGTCCTTGTGAGATCCAGTCAAAATGATGTCCTTTCATTATTGTCTTAAGCTTCGTTTCAGAGCATCTGTAGAATTGTTAAGAGTTCTGGCTTTGGATTGAATCCTGGGTCTGCCAAGTTTTCTGTATGGGATCTTGGGCAAGTTTTTTCATCTGTGAAATGAGGGAAATAATAATATTACCTCATGGAGTTGTTGCAAAAATAAATCATATAGTATGTGCATAGTGATTAGTTTTATAACCGGCATATAGGAAGCTTCAATACATTTTAGTTATTCGTTGTTGTTATTACCATTGTGATTTTCTTTGTTCATTGTTAAGTACTTTCATGAGCCAGGTTCTCTGCAAGGAATGCAGAGATAAGTAAAAGACTCACGCTGCTATCCAAGAGTATGCAGTCTGGTAGGGAAGACAGACCTGTAATCAAATCATTGCAGGATAATTTGATGGGCATCACAGTGGAAACATGTCATAAGAGGCAGTGGTAATTAACTGCCTTGGGAGGTTAGGGAAACATCAGAGAAATGCTGATGTTGGAGCTAGATCTTAGGATGAGTCAGAATCATCAGATAAGGAATGGGCAGAGACATTCTAGGCTGAGGGAATAGCATTTGCAAAGACATGGAGGGCATGAGACCACATGGAACTTGGGAACAGCAAGTCCTTTTATTTTGCTGGAGCTTATGATTGGGAGCTGGAAAATGCAGACCTGGTAAGGAGCATGAACTTGATCTTAGTGATCATAACGGGAAGCCACCGAAAGGATCTATGCAGGGGAGGGGCCAAATCTGCATTAAAAAAAAAATTAACCCAGACTACTGGGGAGAATGCATTGGAGGAAAAAGAGGCTGGGGGCTAGTTAAGAAGCTTTTTTGGTAAGAGTCCAGATAAGAGATGTTAAGAGAACCTCAACTAAGGCAGTGACACTGAAGAGGCAGATTCAGGAAGATACTTTAGAAGGAGATTTTTGAGTAAATTAGATAATGTGATGAACCGATAGATTGGGCAGGAGCTGGGTGAGTAAAGGACGACTCTCAGATTTCTTACTTGGGTGAATGGGTAGATCCTTATCTGAGAGAGACTATAGGAAGGGGGAAAAAGAAGTTCAGTTTTGGAAAGTTGAGTTTAAAGCATCAAGAAGAATTATTTAGCTCTTTTCCGTGGCACCTTGGAGGCGAACGGCTGCTTCAGGATGAAGCTGAACATCTTTCCCAGCCACTGCCTGCCAGAAACTCACTGATGTGAACTATGAACGCAAACTTTGTACCATCTGTGAGAAGTTTATGGCCATGGAAGTTGCTGCTGATGCTCCAGGTGAAGAATGGAGGGGTTATGTGGTCCAAATCAGTGGTGAGAGTGACAAACAAGGGACCATGAAGCAGGGTGGCATGACCCACAGCCACGTCTGCTTGCTACTGAGTAAAGAGCATTCCTGTTACAGGCCAAGGAGGACTGGAGAAAGAAAGTGCAGATCTGTACAGGGTTGCATTATGGATGCCAATCTGAGTGTCCTGAATTTGGTCATTGTGAAAAAAGGTGAGAAGGATATTTCTAGATTTGCTGATACAACTGTGCTGCATCGCCTGGGGCCCAAGAGCTAGAGTCCGCAAACTTTTTAAGCTCTCTAAAGAGGATGATGGGGCTTCCCTGGTGGTACAGTGACTAAGAATCTGCCTGCCAATGCAGGGGACACGGGTTCGAGCCCTGCTCCGGGAAGATCCCACATGCCGTGGAGCAACTAAGCCCGTGCGCCACAACTACTGAGACTGCTCTCTAGAGACTGTGAGCCACAACTACTGAAGCCTGTGCACCTAGAGCCCACGCTCTGCAACAAGAGAAGCCACCGCAATGAGAAGCCCGCGCACCACAACGAAGGGTAGCCCCTGCTCACCGCAACTAGAGAAAAGCCCGCGCGCAGCAACAAAGACCCAAGGCAGCCAAAAATAAAAATAAAAAAATTTATTAAAAAATATATTAAAAAAAAATAAGATGATGTCTACCATTATGTTGTGAGAAGGCCCTTAAACAAAGAAGGTAAGAAACCTAGAACTAAAGCACCCAAAATTCAGCGTCTTGTTGCTCCACATGTTCTGCAACACAAACGTCGGCATATTGCTCTGAAGAACTAGCATGCTAAGAAAAATAAGGAAGAGACTGCAGAATATGCTACACTTTTGGTCAAGAGAATGAAGGAGGCCAAAGAAAAATGCAAGGAACAGATTGTCAAGAGACAGAACCTGTCCTTGGTCAAAAAGAAGATGTTCTAAGAGTAACAAATAAATAAGATCCGACATCCAAAAAAAAAAAAGAATTATTATTTAGTGGAAGTTTAGCCTAAACTCACAAGAGAGGTTTGAACATGAGCCATTGGTAGCACTTAAGAGTCAGTGGTAGCAGAGGTTATTTTAAAATGTGGATTTCTGTGGCCCTACCCCAGAGTTTAATTCAGTAGAATATAGGATAGAGTCCAGGAATCTGCTTTGTTTTATAAACATCTCAGATGATTCTGATGCAGGTGATCTGGGGAACATCATTTCTAACCACTATGATAGATAGTTGTTAAAACCATGTTCTTGAATGACACAACTCAGGTTGGAGGCTGAGAACAGATTCTAGAAGCACTCAAGAAGGATGGAGTGAATATTTGAAAACCAAATATCTGATCAGGGTTAATATCCAAAATATATAAAGGACTCAACAGTATGGTGTTTCCTCAAAAAATTAAAAATAAAACTATCATATGATCCAGCAATCACTCCTGGGTATATATCTGAAGGAACTGAAATCAATATCATATTCATTATAACTTTATTCATAACACCTAAGATATGGAAGCAACCTAAACGTCCTTCGAGGGATGAATGGCTAAAGAAAATGTGGTATATACATACAATGGAATATCCAGCCATAAAAAAGGAAGGAAATCCTGCTATTTGCTGCAACATAGATAAACCTGGAAGGCATATGCTAAGTGAAGTGAGCCAGGAGAGAAAGACAAACACCATGTGGTATGAATTTTATGTGGAATCTTAAAAAAAATAAAGCTGATTTCATAGAAATAGAGAATAGAATGGTGGTTGCCAGGGGCAGGGGGAGAGGGAAATGGGGAGGTGTAGGTCAAAGGGTACGAACTTTATAAGGAAGTAGTTCTGAGGATCTAATGTGTAGCTTAGTGACGATAGTTAATAATACCATATTATATGCTCGAAAGTTGCTGAGAGTAGATCTTAAGCATTCTCACCATTAAAAAAAATAAAAGAGGGAATTCCGTGGGAGTCCAGTGGTTAGGACTCTGTGCTTCCACTGCAGAGGGCATGGGTTCAATCCCTGGTCGGGGAACTAATATCCTGCAAGCCACATGGTGCAGCAAAAAATAAAATAAAATAAAATAATTAAGTATTCGAGGTGATGGGTGTATTAATTATCTTGAGCTTGGTAATCATTCTATAATGTACATGTATATCAAATTGTCACCTTGTACCCTTTAAATATGTACAGTTATATTTGTCAGCTATTCCTCAATAAAGTCAGGGGGGAAAAAGGATGGCATGGTCAGCGGTATCAAATATTGAAAAGAGGCCAAGTAAGAAAAGGTCTGAAACATCCTTTGGGCTTGGCGATTGGACATCCATCAAAGTAAAAGGGTTGCAGACTAGTTTTAGGGGGTCAACTTATTGGGGCTAAAAGTGATCTTTAGTGTTGTTGTGGGACTCAGACACCGGAAGATTCACAGAAATAGAGTGAGGAAGAACTGGACTTGGAGTTCAAATATGTCAGCCTGGTGTCTAGTCCCAGTTTCACTGCTAACTAGCTGTATATCCCTGGGTAGGTCAGTTAACCTTGATGAGCCTCAGTTTATGCAAAATAGAAATAATCCCTTGTATATACCTCACGGTATTATACATGTGAGACAATGAATGTGAAAGTACTTTTAAAATTGTAAGATAGATTATACTTCTGAGGTTTTATTGACTCTGTTCTCATAGTTATTAATAAAGCAGATAATATTTAATCAAGGCCAAGAATTTGGGGGAGGACTATAGAAATGAGCTACCCATGCATCCAAGACCTATGAAATCAAGACTTTGGTGGATTTTGATGATCAAGAATAATTAGCTCTTAGATCTTAGATCAAGGCCACCTGGACATTTCTGCTTGTTGTCTGTTTCACGCCGACAGTATGCCTCACCTGACCTCAGAATTGAAAGCTTTACCCCCTTTAAGTAACAGCACAGGTTCATGTGTGTTCCTTGTGTTATGCTGTATTTTTTTAAGTAAAATAAATAAAAGAAAAAAAAGAATAATTAGCTCTTGCATAGAATGGGTACAGTATTACATTGGTCCCATTTGACAAGACTTTCATTGTGATGTTTTATCAATCTTTGATTTCTAAAGTGTGTGTATCTCTCTCTCTCTCTCTTTTTTTTTTGCCACTAAAAGTCAGAAAACACTTTCTACATCTTCAATTCAAAATGAAATCCCAAAGAAAAAATCCAAGTTTGAGTCGATCACAACCAATGGAGATAGGTAAGCCAATTCAAGTGTGTGTGCATGTTTCTGTTTGAGATGCATACACAGTTCCTGAAACAGGAATACATTTTAGGGTGTGTCATGGAGCTAGTCTATGGTTGTCAATGAACTTCTCAGGGTCGCTACACTAGCCACTTGATATCTTATAAATAAACAGTACTGATATTTGTTTATAAATCTAATCTTGTCTAGAACATATAACTGGATTTCATAGCAATTGAATTCTGCAGTCCACAAATAACTTCCTCACACAAATTCAAAGAAGTCAATAGCTAGATGCTTTTTATTGTGATCTGTGCCTGTAGCCTCCTCCAGGCAGGGCAGGAGTTGGTCTCCCGAGGCAAAGCAGAGACAAGTTGGAATTTTTTTTTTTGGCTGCACTGCACAGCTTGCGGGATCTTAGTTCCCCAACCAGGGATTGAATCCGGGCTACGGCAGTGAAAGCGCTGAGTCTTAACCACTGGACCGCCAGGGAATTCCTGACAAGTTGGAATTAAGGCAGTATTGCTCAGTCTGTGAGGGATAATCCATGCTTCCTTAGCATTAACAGAGATAGCTCAATGCAAATGCTGGATCAGGAGAGAAGGAGATGCGTTTAAATATTTTTGTTTCATTTTAAGCCCTTCTAAATGCATTTTTATTCCTCACTTTCCCCTCTCCTTCTCAATGATGCTTCGCTTACGAGCTACTTTCTCCTCATATCCAGGGTGCCCCATCCATGTTGGTGCAGTGGGCGGCTTCTCAGCAGAGTCTTGGGGCCACCTGTTTTCCTGTTCCTCCAGGCCTGGGCATCCTGAAGTGAGACCACCTGGCACACTCTTCCCTAAAATCCTTGGAATCATCTCCATTCTGAAAACTTCCATTCTCGGTTCTCCCTCCCAGGCAGTGGTGGGTATGGGAGCAGACCAGCATATACGCTTATCAGCGCTGAATTTTGTTTATTTAGCGGGATACACAGCGTCTATGAAGTTGGCTTTTTCATTAACTTGATTTGAGACTCTGCAAGCTGTCTTCTTAATGCTAGTATTAGTGACTTTAAACTTCTTGAATTGATCCTTCTAGAAATGCTTAATTTAGATATTCTGATTACGTAGCGGAAGGAACCATAAAGACCATCTTTCTGGTCAGCTTTATTGTTTATTCTCTGAGCAGCTAGTTTGACCATTCTGAAGAAAATAGATGTGGCACTGATTGTCTCATCACCTCTGCCAGGATTCATGATCCTGTAAAAACTACTTTTTAAGAGAGTGAACCATTCTGAATACCCTGCTTTATAAAGGCCTAAGCCAAGACCCACAGCCTTTAGATTCATCATTTCTGTTTTGTGCTATTTGTGACGCAGGCTATGTTTGAATGACCTAGAAAAGCTCATTTAGTTTAACTTTTAGTTTAACCAACAGTCCTTAAAGTTTGCCTTCTATTAGCTCATTTTGTTCTTGAGATACTGCCACTATTCTTTCTGACTATTGCTATGGATACACCAAGCCAAAGACTTAAACTTTCTGCTCAGTGTTTTATTGCATCCGGTTACCAGCAATGATTGTTTTCCTCAAGTAGGATGCCGATCCTTAACTTAGGTGCGTGGTCTTTCATAATGTCCTCTCGGAAAGATCTTTAAAAATAATTTTTTCTTTAAATGTACATGGTAATTAAAAAAATAACTTATCCTAATAACTTGAAAATTTGGAAAAACTTTTTCTGCTGCCAAAAAAATTATTTTCATACATATACAAGTTCCATTTGAATGTTCCTGCATTAGCACTCCTAACAATCTATTCCACTTGTTTGCATTTCTGTCTTTTAAAAGTTCATATACAAGGTAAATTACATTTTTCCTTTTCTTTTTACTTTTTGTGGTTTTTTACCTTGCTTTTCCTTCACTTTGAAAGCATTCTGACAAGACTTTTTTTTTAACAGACCTTTTTTTAATGTCATGCAAACCAAAAATTTTTTCCTGAGTATCCATTTTGAATTCAGTTCCGTAGTAAATGTTACCAGTTTTGTTTCTTAACTATCTATTGTGACTGCCTCCCAGTTTTTAATTAATCACAATCCACTTTGCTTGTCCCACTCTTAAAATATCCATATACTTTTTTTTATTGGAGTATAGTTGCTTTACAATATTGTATTAGTTTCTGCTGTACAGCAAAGTGAATCAGCCACATGTAATATCCATATACTTTTAAATTTATGCTTTTATTCTTTCATTTTTATCCCTTCATGTCTTCTGCAGGTTGCTCTCCAACAATTTTCCATTGACCTTTCTGTACTACCATATTCTCCTCTCTCTTTTTTTTTTTTTTTTTTTTTTTTGGCCGCACTGCACGGCATTTGGGATCTTAGTTCCCCAGCCAGGGATCGAGCCCTCCACCCCTGCAGTGGAAGTGTGGAGTCGTAACCACAGGACCATCAGGGAAGTCCTCTTATTTATTTTTTAAATATCGAGGAATATTTGATTATTTTTTCTCTTCTTTTTCTTTTCTTTTCTTTTTTTTTTTTGCGGTACGCAGGCCTCTCACTATTGTGGCCTCTCCCGTTGCGGAGCACAGGCTCGGGACACGCAGGCTCAGCAGCCATTCCATGGCTCATGGGCTTAGCCGCTTGGCAGCATGTGGGATCTTCCCGGACCGGGGCATGAACCCGTGTCCCCTGTGTCGGCCTCTCAACCACTGTGCCACCAGGGTAGCCCTCTTCTTTTTCTTTATTCATTAGCCTTCCATATCATAGAGAACCCATTACTTTAGGGTTTTTTAAAAAAATAAAACCATTTTTCTCATGGTTTTATACTTATAAAATGCCTTAGTCTTTTTATTTTTTAGTATCCTATAAAATTCACAGCCTCCATCTCACTATTTTATAGTTTGTCGAAATTGTAACAAAAACTCTTCAATTTGAAGAAAATCTGAGTTCATTCCTAGCTTTCCTTCCCTGAGAAATGCACTTTTTGATCATATTTGTTTATTGTTCTATGGGCAATAAAAGCAGTGGGTGACCTCCAGGCACACCTTGTGGTTTATTGTTTCTAAAGGACATTCTTTTCTTTTCCTTATAATTTTATTTTATTCTCCCTCTGAAATATGCCTGAAAGATTAGACTTACTCTGTGTGGCCTTTGAGGACAGACCCAGGACTAATGGATAGGACTGATAGGGAGGCAGGTTTTGGCTCAACCTGAGGAAAGATGTTCTCTTAAGCTTTTGGAAAAGACAAGAAGCTTCCTGGAGAAATAGTGAGTTCCCTGTCTTTGGAGGTATTTAGAAAGAGACTGGATTTGATTTTCTGCCTTGGTAACCTAGCCATCTTTTTTCATTTTGATACCCAGCAGTTCTTATTAATCAGGAGTTACAGAGTTAGAGAGGTCAGGACCTAACACAGGAAAGGCACAACTAGTTTTGTCAACAATTTATTGGTATAGGAAGACTCCTCCCTCAAGAAGCAGGTAGAGCCAAAGCAATCTTGAGAATGAAGAACAAAGTTGGAGGTGTCATGCTTTCTGATTTCAAACTGTACTACAAATCTGCAGTAATCAAAACAGTATGGGATTGGCACAAAAACAGACACATGGACTGATGGAACAGAATAGAGAGCCCAGAAATAAACCCACACTTATATGAGCAATTAATCTACAACAAAAGAGGCAAGAATATACAGTGGGGAAAAGACAGCCTTTTCACTAAATGGTGTTGGGAAAATTAGACAGCTACATGCAAAAGAATCAAACTGGACTACTTTCTCACACTACTTACAAAAATAACTCAAAATAGATTAAAGTCTTAAATGTAAGACCTGAAAGCATTAAACTCCTAGAAGAAAACATTGACAGTATGCTCTTTGACATTGGTCTTAGCAATGTTTTTTGGATACGTATCCTCAGGCAAGGGAAACAAAAGCAAAAGTAAACAAATAGGGCTACCTCAGACTAAAAAGCTTGCACAATGAAGGAAACTATCCATAAGATAAAAAGGCAACCCACTGAATGGGAGAAGATATTTGCAAACGATATATCCGATAAGGGGTTAATATCCAAAATGTACAAAAAGATCATATATCTCAACATCAAAAAAGCAAACAGTTCTATTTAAAAATGGGCAGAGGGGACTTCCCTGGTGGCGCAGTGGTTAAGAATCAGCCTGGCAATGCAAGGGACATGGGTTCAAGCCCTGGTCTAGGAAGATCCCACATGCCGCAGAGCAACTAAGCCCGTGCACCACAACTGCTGA